ACACCGGAGCTCGCGCTATTCCGCCGACTTTACTTGACACTTGACTGCGGAATAGCGCGAGCTCCGGTGTGGGGAGCAAACCCTTTTCTTACAAATCATCGCCGAGGTCGCAACCACTAATTATTATTAATAATAATAATTTAATAACGAAGGTACGTGTTGGGTCGTAAGTATCCACGCAAACACACATCCAGTCAAAATAAGGCACTTGTCAAAGTATCCGAACGTTTTCGGTCCCTTCTCATCAAGGATTATACAGGGAATGGCTCAAGTTGGAAAGACTAAAACTTATATAGCGTAAAGATATGAGATAACAACACTCGTGACAAGGTGGAAAAAGTATCAAGTTCAGCACGACACAAAACTCGAAGGAAATAATAATAGCGACAAGAACATATTGAGCAAATTAAGTTACATTGTTAACACCTCGACGAGGAGTAACACCAAACAATTGTAGCGACAACACATTTTCTTTCTGTACGCAAAGTTCAGGATCTAACTTACGGATATACAAAGCTTCTAACACAGCCAGATGCAACGCACATCTACCACGTGACAATATTGAGAACACATTATCACTGTACAACTCACGACAATTGGTACGGGCTGACAGATGTTGCTTGATGGACGAAGTGCGATTATTAGCTCCGTTGGGTGTAGTCTCCTCCAATGTCCCGTCATCTCGCCTCTTCGCGGCATCACCACTATCCGTCTCTTTGCTTTTCCGCGGCCTTCCACGTTTTCTGACACTAGCCGTTGTGTGCGCGATGCCCAATGTCCTTTCAGCTACGTCTCCTCCATTGCGGATTTCTATTGATCTTCTTACTCCAACTTGTCCGGTGTTCGATATTGAGGTTTGTTTTCGCGGTCTACCACGTTTTCGAATATTGACTGTTGTTGTCACTTCCGTTGTCGTTGTACGTGCGTCCTCACCAGTCCGTATTTTTACTTGGCTTCGCGTAACCCTTCCCGACGCAGACAGATCCTTTGTCAATTTCGGTGGTTTACGTGTCGGTCTTTCACCATCTTTCACGCTGTTCTCAGCTGGACCCTGCGCTATACACGCGGAGGACGACGGGCATGCAGTGATATCTTCACAGGAAGAGGAAGATCCACCGATGGACTGGACAGCACATTTTGGAGGACGACCACGGCGAGGACGACACTCACGCGCATCAAGTGGAACAAAACTTAACGGCACATGTTGACGAATGCGCGCGCCCAGGTGCTGAAGGGTTCTACCTACATACCGATCTTCACATTGTCGGCATTGAAAGAAATAGATAAGGTTACTTTTACTAAGGGTAGGTAGAACATCCTTCTTCACACTGAACGCACGCACTGTCCCAAATATGACGTACAGCTTGACGCACGGATAAGATGGACATACGATACCACGAACATCCTTCTCCACGCGCGCAGAACCGGCGCCAACCCAGGGTAAACGGAGCACCACTGGGCAAAGGTCAGGTCCAAATTGGATCGGCTTGTCTGTCGCCGGTTTTTCGTTGATAAGCTTGGCCAGAAATTCCTTTGGATAGCCGTTGTTCGTAAATATTGATGTCAGTCTGTCTAATTCGTCCTGCAATAGATGAGGGGAACATATTCTATGCGCACGATAAACTAGCGCTTTCACAAGATGTTTCTTCGATTTCGTTGGAGTATAGCTCCCCCACGGAATGTAGAGGCCGGTGAAAGTTGGCTTCCTATAGATAGTGGTGTCCAAACTCTTAGTGTTAATGTTGCGTGAAATTTGTACATCCAAGAAGGATAATCTGCCGTTTTGTTCCGCTTCCGACGTGAATCTCAACGCCGGATGGAGGCTATTCAGAGTTAGTAGAAAAGTCCCACAGACATCCTCATCCTCATCGTGACAGTACACATCGTCTACAAAACACAACGGCTCAAAACACAACGGCTCAAAACACAACGGCTTAATTTAATTTAATTAACTTAATTTGCTCAATATGTTCTTGTCGCTATTATTATTTCCTTCGAGTTTTGTGTCGTGCTGAACTTGATACTTTTTCCACCTTGTCACGAGTGTTGTTATCTCATATCTTTACGCTATATAAGTTTTAGTCTTTCCAACTTGAGCCATTCCCTGTATAATCCTTGATGAGAAGGGACCGAAAACGTTCGGATACTTTGACAAGTGCCTTATTTTGACTGGATGTGTGTTTGCGTGGATACTTACGACCCAACACGTACCTTCGTTATTAAAGTATTATCCGCCTCCGACTTCTTGTAAAAATAATAATAATAATATTATTAGTACAGGTCGCATATCTCCCAAATAATGGGTTCCACGCATCTGTCAACTGTTTCATCATGAAATAGATTGCAGCAGGAAGAATAGTACGAAGTAGTGTGGGGAGCAAACCCTTTCTTACAGGAAGAATAGCATACGAAAAAAACCATATACAGGTTCTAGCACATGACAAGTACATGCCATTTTTTTACACCGATGTACATTTGTCAATGAAGTCCAGCCATAGCTTTTTGTCCCGTGCAGTGTTGAGGCAATCCTCGAGAGGCGAGACGTCGGATTTCACCACATCAATCCACCGAAGCCTCGGTCGTCCTCGTGGACGCTTGCTCTTTGACGTGTCGATGGCCATGGTTAGCGCGCCATAGGAAGCCGTGCCCGGACCTTCCCGAACAACATGGCCGAACCATAGGAGACGTCTTCTCTTGCAGACCCTGCTGATTGATTGCTGTTTTGATTTTTAATACCGTGAGGATTTTGTTGGATATGCAGTGCGGGTAGTGGACTCCGAAGATATAACGGAGCTTTCTTCTCTGCCATACATCTAGCTGTTCATTCTGTCGCTTCGTGAGGGTCCGTCCATAGGCCGCAGTTATACAGCAGCACTGGAACAATGAAAACCGAGAACATGCAAAGCCGTGAGTCCAGGCAATGCCGCTTCCATGCTATCGAGCCGAATGCTCGGTTCGCTGCACCGATCCTGGCTGTCACATCCTCCGTGGAGTCCAGCAAGGAACCAAGGAGCTTGACCGTTTTCCACGATGCATCAGTGCGGGAAGCAGTTAAATATACGGTTTTTTGTACGTTAAGGGTGAGGTTGTCTTCTTTGAAGATCGGCTCACATGTGGCTACCATGATCTCCACAGCACTCCTCGATGATGCGTGCATAGTTGTATCATCTGCGTATTGTGTTGAAGGTGAGGGTACATCTTGAGTTCTTGCAAGGCTACTAACTGCATCGAGGTCGCGCTTTGAAAAGTATATAAGTATAGCCATGTTCTTTTTCGCCCAAGCCATGGAAGGGCTTCCTACATCCTGGCTGCTGCTCTGAGCTGAGTCAACACTGGTGTTGGACATGAAGTTGAGCGCCATCCTAGTGCTTTTTCAATTTATTTTTATTTTTACGAATGCCACACAATCCCTACGATCAGGCGGAGAAAGGAAAGAGAAGAAAAGACGATGACGAACGGCTCTCCGTACACACTACATGTAGGGGCCGCTAGGCTAGCAGCAGTACAGATGAGGCGTAGTAGGTTTCCTCGACCGCTGGTCTTTTTTTCCATTCAAAGAACTTTATTGAAAATCCATGATAATGACTATGTGATCGGAAAAATGATTGAAGACAAATCCAAAAGTCAACCCAGGCAATTATTAGCAGTCACTACTATCAACCTCGACCACTGGTCTCGGGTTCGTGATCGTGCTACTTCGAAGTACTACAGTGCCGCGCCGCCCAAGGGGTCGCATTGCAGTTTCCAGCACTGTACTACACCAAAGATAAGAATAGTTAGTAGAACAATCATAGGGTGCGTCTGATCGTGAATGTGTGGTGAAGAATGTTGTCTACAGTATGCTGTGCACACTTTGTCAAGAGCTGTACGTGTGTGGAAACCGAGCGGCCAGTGCAGGAGCGGTTTCAGGAACACTACCTGGAAGTAGAGACGATGGTGGAGAAAACTCCCTGGGGTACCCACTACAAAACCCACCACCGACAATCTCACACATCATCTTTTTATTTCAGTCCTTCCACCAGGCAAAGGTTCTCGGCAGGGAGCCTTCTCTTCCATCACGCGAGTACCTTGAGGCAACAGAGATCAGAAATCGACGACCAAAGGTGAACAGTGACAAGGGTTGGCGCATATTAGCATAAATCAAACTTCCCGTCACATGGCTGATCTACAAACTGGGCATCCCGGGGCATTAACTTAAAATGTGGGTGGGTCGACAGGCAGAATGTCCGTGGACCAACTTCAATCCAGTCGGCGGACGTATTCGTGTACGATTTGTTAGGAAAGGGTTTGCTCCTCCCCCCCCCCCCCCCCCCTAAAAAACGCGAGCTCCAGTATGGGGAGCAAACTCTTTCCTAACAAATCAACGCCGAAGTCGCAACCACTATTTTCGTACTGTAGACTAGTGCCCAGCGCGGGCGTGCGACTAGCTAGTTTGGAGGTTACAACTTTGTGAATGACCCATGAATTGCATTTTCATGCTTGGAGGCACCAAAACATCGATTTTCGGCGAATGCAGTGCGAAAATTCCGCTGCTCGCTTAAAACGGGCCGTAAATGTACTACTGCGAGTCTGCGACACTACACCACGTGATTTGCGTTTTCGCCGTTGGCGAACCCCATAGATATCAGGAGCTGCACACTCTTGGGGGCTTTTGCTCGTGCGGAGTCGCAGTCCGTATTATTATACCGTAGGCATGCGATCACTGAAATGAACTATTTTTTGCGGGCAACATCGCGGAATATTTGACTGCTTGCCCGCGGCGGGAAAAGGCGCTGACTCACTGGAGTACGGGCAACAATCATGGGCAATGTGATACTAGTAAGTATCTAATATTGACTTCGTACTAGGTCATTATAGGAAAATAGAAGCCGTGTAAAAGACCAAGGCGAAGCCGAGGTCTTTTACGAGGTTTATATTTCCTGTATTGACCTAGTACGAAGTCAATAAATGTCTTACTTGTACATTTTTCACGACTAGCCAAAGCATGTGTTCAATCCCTATCATGGAGTAAAACTTTAGCAGTCAATAATGGCCCTAAGGTCGTAAGGAGTGAAATATGCAGGAATATTTTGAATGCTTAGGTATAGCAAAAATCTATGGGGTCAATACTAAGGGAGTGATAAAAAAATAATTGGAAGTAGTTTAAATGCAGTGAATAGATACACAATAATACGCACTAGTTCAGTAACACAACATGAACAAAAGTTTCTAAAAATGTAGTGAAGAAAAGCCAAAAATGCCAACTTTAGTGCTACTCAATGAAAACTTAAAGCAAAAACATGAAGGGGCTAATCAAAACACTTCCATGTATCACAAGCAAAGAGATCAATGAACAACTAACGGGTTGCAAGACACAAACTGAGATATATCATTCCAAACTCATAAACAAGTTCAGAACAGACCAATTTTTCTTCTGCTTACATAGGTCAGGCCTAGTAGTGAAGATGTAAATTGACTCCAATACACATAAGTAACGCTGACTAATTGCACAAGACAAGACTGAAAACCTATCATCTACTCGGTGATGATGCTCTCCCTGATAACTATAAAGACGTTGTACTGTCATCTGACTCATTGCCAGTGTTGACTTTACGCCATCGCCGTTGACGTTCGTCTCGGCGAGCTTCCTGATCTCGTGGAGAGTTTATCGGGCGTGGTGCTGGCGGATCCTTGTAGCGTTACTCTGTGATGATGCTCTCGCTGATGGCCAGAGGTGGAACGATGGCATCCGGTGCCTGCTGCTCTGGAGGAGGATTGTTGTTGCCACCGTCGATGCTGTTGGTGTTTATGCTGGTGACGGTGGTGGCGATTACGGGATTGATCTCTCTGGGTGACATAGTGTCGATCACGAGAACGGCGGATTCCCCACTGCCTGTGGCCTGATTCTCAACTGTGGGTTGATCTGGATGCAAACATTCACCCACAAACATGCAACGCACGCACATGTGCATGCATACACATGTGTATACGTATGCATGTGTAGGTTTGTGTGCACACACAAACTCGTATACACATATACATGTATACAGACTGCATATAGTGCTCTATGTCCAGTGCGTAGAGCCAGTAATGCAATACCTACACAGCAATGACACAACAAAATCCTTTTCTGCTGCAACTCAGAGTTTTGTGTTAAAACACTCACCAGACAGACTGATTTGATGAACTTAATGTGGAACAACTAGTATCAAAGAGAAGGACACAAGCGGCCATCAACATCAGCACGAAATCCGAAAACATTGTTTATGCCATTGGAACTAGCTGTTAAAGCACAGCGGGGTAATGTACCACGGACTGGGCTAACCATCGCATGATTTATTTGATTTTTTGGAAATGGCTGTGAACATTTCATGTAACAGCCATTTCCGAAAACCAAATAAGAAACTCTACTCAACATGTACCCTCAGGTGCTGTGAACATACATGCTTGAAATACTGCTTCCAGTCTACAAGTCAGAAGCCTTTGACTGCATTTCAATATGCTGCTCGACATCATTGAGATTTTACCAAAACAATGAGCTGAACAGCTGTATACATGTACATACCTGATGGAGAAGTTTCAGCTACGGTCGCGAGCTCCAGCTTTTTCTGAGCTGGTCCCATCATCCCATGCTGGTCCATGTCATCTGGCTCAAGCAATGCAATGTATGGTGCTGGGGGATTCTCTGCAGTCCGACTATACACAATGACAAAACAAAAACTGAAAAACTTGTGCAGGCTACATAAAACTCGACCCTTTGCCCAGGTCCCTAGAGTGCCAAACCCTCAGTATAAGATAATATTGACCACGCAGGACCAAGGCCAAAACACATAGGACAAATCAGACAAGCATAACGTATTATCGATGTATTCCTAGACAGGTACGATCTTTTGCATCCAAGGAAAAGCTATGTTGGAGATTTTCAATTATCTTAAAACGAGTTGAAGCATCGATAATATAATTATGTTGCATTGAGGGTAGCCCAAGTAAGTACGAATTAGTTCCTATTTCACCTTTAGCTGAAAGTCCTGTTACAAGCTTACAGTGCTCAATGTCCACTGGACAGAGCCAGTAATACAAATATTACACAGCAACGAAGCAAACAAATCTCTTTCCGCTGTTACTCGGAGTTTCGTGTGAAAACAAATGCTGTCTGATGAGTGTTTTCACACGAAACTCCGAGTAACAGCGGAAAGAGATTTTTGCCCGCCATCCTCCTGGCACCTCCACCCCTCTGCTGTACACTGCCTCCCCATCGCCTCTTTCCGCGCTTTCATGCTCACACATGCCTATTGCCCGCCACCCTTCTGGCACTTCAACTGTCGCGCCGTGGCCCGCACCAGCTTTTCTCCCCATACCTTACACCAGATTTAGCGCTAAATTTGTTTATGCTTGTGGCCCTATGTGTTTATAAGCATACTGTTGGGTAGACCCGAGTATCAGTTGTCTGATGATTGCCTAACGGCATGACACTCAGAGTTACAACCAACCTGAACGTCCTCCGCTGAGTCTGCCATGTACTAAGCTCTGTCTCTGACATTGAGCACTCTCTGCAGCTCGGGGATCAACGGATTTGTAGATAGATAGATAGATAGATAGATAGATGGATAGATGGATGGATGGATGGATGGATGGATAGATGGATGGATGGATGGATGGATGGATGGATGGATGAGGTAGATAGAGAGAGTAAGTTACATTTATAAAGACAGGTAAGTCTAGCAAATGATCGAGGACTGAGACCTCTACAACAGGGATTCTACGCCTGAAAGCAGGTGAATGATTTAACAAGCAGGTTGTCAGTCTAGATTTTATGCGCAGATGGAGAAAGATGCGCAGAATGTTTGTAATGAGATGAAAAGCAGAAATAATAAGAAAAGATGAAATGAAAGCCTGCTCACAACCCCGCCCAGCCTTGCGAACTGGGAATGGTGGATTAAGAACCCGGGTTCGACGCTTGAGCAAGCGCTCTCCACTCAAGGTGTTCACAGCAACTGATAGTAACTCATAGGGAGAAATGATAGAAAAGAAATAATAAGATGAAGAGAATAAATTTCAACGCACCTCAATAAACAGAGACCCACATACAGTACCTCAGAAAAGATCTTCCGACCAGCGTTTTTGTTGACGTCGCAGCCAGACAATATTGCTGCTTCGCAGAGATGTCTTACTGCACAAATTACAAATAAATTTTATTCTTCGATTAGAAAACCCAAGCGCTTTCAGAGCCCTCCGAAGAGAGTCCGGGGTGAAACCACGAACACCTACCTCAACCAGAAAAGAAACGACCTGCCACCTGTTTTCTCTGCATTGATCGGCCAGATCCGCATACCGCCTTTCCTTCCGCGAGTTCCTGACACTGAATCTGTCCTCAGCACAAACTGTCAACTCCATCCAGAATACAATCCTAGGACTCATTATCTGGTTTTAGGGTGGTAAGTGTCACACAGCTAGGAAAAGAATCTTTGCACTAACTGAGTCGACAAGAAGTTTCCAGTCTGAGGCGGCTGATAGGAGATCAGTTGTAAACAACTTTCATCTGGGCTGAACGCAAACTGGCTCTCTCCAGCCTTGCAAAACGAGATGAAGTCAAGCTCATTTGAATTTTCGTTTTGTACGGTGTTTGCAGCAGCGCGGATTCGAATCTCCTCACGCATGTTCCTGACGATGACCCCGAGTACGTTATCGTGCCTCCAGGTATAACGTCCCTGGTCCAGCGCTACGCGACAAGCGCCAAGCACGTGGCGTGTAGTACAGGCCCAGGCACGGCACAAACTACAGTACGGATCCACTACTGTGTTTCCCCAACGGCGTAGGTTCGTCGGAGAAGGCAGCACGTCTAGGGTTGACGCAAGAAGAAATTTCAAATCATTACCAGTACCACAGTACAAAAGGGATTTCCACGAGAGGTCCTGCCGCATCACCGATGTCCACTCCAAACACTTGCCTTGCACCTCAAGAGTCTTCAGCCTCAAAATCTGCTCTGCGCGTTGATCTTCTCAAATGTTTTTATTTGTTATTCTTCGGAAAACACTGAATTGAGATAAATATATGACATCATGCTAGACTAATGACTATGTGGAAGGTAATACCGCATACCGGTGTAATGAGAGTTCACATAACAGTAGCAATTCATCATGTATTGTGTTTCAAGTCTGTGTTCGAAACTTCATATAAGTTTCTCCAACTGCAAGAATCGTGCAATATTGTAAGCAGAGTCCGCTACAGCTTGACTGACGGATGAAGACGACTAAAGAGCTGCAAAGTGACAGCTTTGTGCTCTTCCTGGGCAGTCGAAAAGGAAGTGTGTTGCATCCTCGACGACGCCAGGGCAGAAGACACAGTGAGGCGAGTCTGCAGCTCCAATGCGGTGGAGGCAGCCATTCAGAAGACTTCAGTGGCCGGTCATCAGCTGGTTCAGCTTGCAGGACGCTTTTCGTGTCCGAAGGTCGCCGAGCTTCTTGGTGTAGAGCAGTGGTGGGGGGGGGGATACCGTGTTGCCTTGCGGACTGCAGTCTTGGTGGCTTGCACTGGAAGACGGACGTGACCCTGGGGGACCTGGGTACCATGCGCAGCCAGGCGATCTACTTTGTCGTTGAGGAATAAGCCACAGTGACTACTGACCTAAACAAGGTGGATGCTGCTAACAAGCTGGCTAATGCTCTTGATGGCCTCAAACACAGGAATCGTATCTGGGCTCATACGGTACAAATCGCCGGCAACAGAATCAGTCAACAAATGACTGTCCGTAACGAGGATGAGGTCTGGCAGCGAGGGTTGATCGTCTGTGTTGGTGAGGCCAGCCGTAAGTAGATCTCCTGCCGCAGAGAGACCGGGTACTGCTGCAGTTACCTCGGCGGTGAAGGAAGTTGCTACCATGCCTGCAGGATCGATTCCACTGCACACTTCAGAGCGTTCGCCATCAGTGACTTTGAAGACAAGAGAGCCACTTCCTCCTGTACCCTCATCAGTGACACTACCATCTGTCCAGACTGCATATGACTGAGATTGAGCACAAAGAGAGGCAACCTTGTCCAGGCACTCCAGGGTTGCAGACAACCGGACATGCGGGGATCATCTCTCCTCCAGTCAGTGATGTGGATCGTCAAGTTCTCCACCTTTGACCATGGCGGTGGTCGCAAAGGCAGCGGGAGAAATTGCTGAGTAGGCGAAGTCTCCTGGGCTTACTGTTGCCAAGTGATCTTGTCATGGCATTTGCGTTGAGGAACCCGAGTGGAGAGAACGGCGCGAGCAGGGGCTGGGGTGTTGTGACGATAAGCAATATTAGCCCAAAATTCCCAGCCTGGCGCGTGATCTTTGGATGCAGGGACAGAGCACCGGCAACCTCATAGAGCTCAAATGTTTGAAGGAGATCCTTCCTCGGGGGTTTGGAATGCTGCTTCAGAGGACGAGCACCCAACCCTGCACGATGACTTGACGATGATTGTGGACGGAGAGTCCCTGAACCTACTGATGCTTCTGCACACTCCAGCTCTATTGTCGCCGCATACCGCTTTGTCAGCTTCGCATCCTTACTCCGACGCAAAGTGTACAGCGCCCTCATGCACGCGTCCCCACTCGATCGAAGAATGTGCCATTTGATGGACTGGCACTTTTCCACACCGTAGGAAGGTTGTGGAGGCGTAAGCCGAAGCCGCGGCGTTTACGATTGCCAATGAAAAGAATGGCAGAGTTTGCGCATCGAGGTAGGCCTGACCATTTCTGAAGAAATGGTAAACACATATAGTGCAGTTCACATACAAAACCTTGTGCGAGTTCAAGAACCTGGAAAGACCAAGAAAGCTTGGGCACTACAACATAGTGGTAAAGCCATAGCTTGTGGTGGTCTTGTGGTGGTCTTCTGATGGCCTTGTGGTGGTCTTGTGGTGGTCATCTACTTTTTGCATGAAAGGTACCGTGAGTTGACGGATGTCTTCTCGTTGGGTCTGCTCAGAGCAATCAGCATGCAGCCTTCGCCCCAGGAACTTGAACTCTTCGGTGTCAATGAAAGCGATCTTCCATCTTGACATCGTCAGGCAGGGATCGTGAGGTTTGTACCGGCTATCCACAAGCTTTGCTGCGCTGCTTTTGCATTTATGCGGCGCCGCCTCCATACATTGGGTCCACAAGAGAAAGTCCTCCGTGACCGCAATGAGTTTTTGACAACCTGCACTAGATTTGCTATAGAGGCCTAAGTCATCAGCAAAAGCTGTTTGGGACACTTGCAAAGGGGCAGATTTAAAATCATAGGAGAGGCAACTTAATTCAGGGGCTGCAAGTGAGTCCAGCAGAAGCTGGAAACAAATTTTGAAAAGGACCGGGGACAAGGGGCACCCTGGAAAACACCAATGTTGTAATTAAAGGTTGTAGTGTGTGTGTGTGTGGGAGAGAGAGAGAGAGAGAGAGAGAGAGAGAGAGAGAGAGAGAGAGAGAGAGAGAGAGAGAGAGAGAGAGAGAAGAGAGAGAGAGAGAGAGAGAGAGAGGAGAGAGAGAGAGAGAGAGAGAGAGAGAGAGAGAGAGAGAGAGAGAGAGGAGAGAGAGAGAGAGAGAGAGAGAGAGAGATAGACAGAGACAGAAAGCGACAGAGCAACAGAGAGAGAGAGAGAGAGAGAGAGAGAGAGAGAGAGAGAGAGAGAGAGAGAGAGAGAGAGAGAGAGAGAGAGAGAGAGAGAGAGAGAGAGAAGAGAGAGAGAGAGAGAGAGAGAGAGAGGAGAGAGAGAGAGAGAGAGAGAGAGAGAGAGAGAGAGAGAGAGAGAGAGAGAGAGAGAGAGAGAGAGAGAGAGAGAGAGAGAGAGAGAGAGAGAGAGAGAGAGAGAGAGAGAGAGAGAGAGAGAGAGAGGGAGAGAGAGAGAGAGAGAGAGAGAGAGAGAGAGAGAGAGAGAGAGAGAGAGAGAGAGAGAGAGAGAGAGAGAGAGAGAGAGAGAGAGAAAGAAAGAGAGAGACAGAGAGAGAGACAGAGAGAGCGAGACAGAGAGAGAGAGAGAGAGAGAGAGAGAGAGAGAGAGAGAGAGAGAGAGAGAGAGAGAGAGAAAGAAAGAGAGAGACAGAGAGAGAGACAGAGAGAGCGAGACAGAGAGAGAGAGAGAGAGAGAGAGAGAGAGAGAGAGAGAGAGAGGGGAGAGAGAAAGAGAAAGAGAGACAGAGAGAGAGAGAGAGAGAGACAGAGACAGAGAGAGAGACAGAGACAGAGAGAGAGAGAGAGATAGAGACACAGAGACAGAGACAGACAGGACACACTCAGTGAGAGAGAGAGATCCTGCCATGGCTATCGTCAGAGGACAGGCTCTTTGGCATGCGCTCTGTAACGGGAAAATGTCCTGACGAACGTCACCCACATACCTGGTTGGCTGTTTGGCAGGTTTTTGTTGTATGATAGAGCCCGGTGGAGCAGGATTATAGTTCATGTAGTCCGACCAAGCCTGTACTTTGTGAATCGGCATGTTTTCGTAGAGCTGCTGGCTAAAGTCGTCCAGTATGCCGGCAATGAGTGAGAACGTAGGCCGCTCTTCCGGGCAAACAACCCAACATGACTGCATCATATCATACCTGAGCAGCGAGAAGGAGGAAGAAAACATGATTGATCCGAATATGAGAAACTCCCCTGAAACACCAACCTGACCCCCAAAAATCCAAGTAGCTTTCGGCGACCTAACACTTAGCTCCAACACATCTCCGTGCTGCTTTGCTGCTGTGCTGCTTTGAATTGTAGTTACACCGCTTTGTCAAGTATTCTTACTGGTCTCGTCATCGTCCAGTAAAATATTTAAACTCAGATGGATAGCCAAGTATAAAGAATGAAGAAGAAAGGACCAAAGACTTACAAGTTTCCTGTAGTTACCCACAATGGCAATTATAAGCTTGATATTGATGAGTCGTGATGTGCAACAGATAACACAATAATGACTGCTGTGGTACTGACATTCAACGACCTGACGTTTAGCTCCATTTCGTCTTGAATGCGCAAGCCAACAGCCTTCCAACTTGGAAGGTACGAAGTTGTGAAAAACGTGAGAAGAAAAGAGGAGCGTGTCGAGAAGAGGAGCGTGTCGAGAACTGCTGTTCACGAATATTGAGAATGCACATAAATTTAGTGTTCACGTCTTACTTGAAATTCCTGTAGTTTCAGTCTGCAACTCCATCGCCTTTCTCCTTTTCGAACTCAGTCTTTCCATTATCTGACAGTGGTGCTCTCACCTCTAGCTAGGTGCAAGCACCCTCCGCCAGACGCGAACTACATTCTTATTTTCTAAAGACTCTCAAGTTTATTTCTTCTTCGCGTTCACTTTCGTTCTGCAGTTTATTATTCCCGTAGCGATGCAGAAGACGTTACTTCAGTAACGTCTGGCGCTAGCCAGGGTCCACACAGCTTTAATTTGGTATTTGTGTGTTTATTTGTTTGTGTGTTTGTGTCACGCCTGGCGCTATCCCGTATCTGTCCCGTACCGTACCGTACCATCAAACACAGCTGGCCACATACAGCTGGCCGCAATATTCAAATAGGGCTTTCAAACGCAAGATCATAACGTGAAGCAACTTGTTAGAATGAGTATGAATGCGAAGTGTATGGGAAAATGCATGTAGGGCGACAGTGCGGGTTCGAATCCCAGGTTATGCCTTAAACAAAAATTGGAGAATTGAAAAATTTATAATATATCTATGCTTTTTTTGCCTAGGTCATCAAGGCGGTAGATGGTGTCGTATTATCCTCGACGTACCTGTCCCGTACCTGTCCCGTACCGTACCATCAAAGACGGTTGGCCACAGTGTATATTCAAATAGGGCTTTCAAATGCAAGATCACAACATGAAGCAACTTGGAAGAATTATTATGTATGCGAAGTGTATCTGGGGATGCATGCAGGGCGATAGTGCGGGTTCGAATCCCAGGTTATGTCTTAACATCTCTATGTTTTTTTTTGTCTAGGTCATCAAGGCAAAAAAGCATTGCGTAGGGCCCTGAGCTTCCAAGCTCTCTCGTTTATTTATTTCCCTTTCTTTCTACCTCAAGCTAGACGCGCTCCATGCGCCACCATCATTGTTTCCATGGCACCACTCATTGTGCGTCTCACTTCTTTTCTCCGTTGTTTGTGTCTCCTTGGTATTGGTTTTCTTCTTCTTGACTGAACTTGTAGTTGATGAGTGGACGATGGTCGTTTGTGTTGTAGTAGTGTAAGCGTGTGCATGGTTGCTAAGGCTTCCAAAATCAAAACGATGAGATTTTGACAGAGCGCACTCGAGATGGAAACGACGAAAACAGTGAACTAAGAGTGTTAGCTGTGACAAGAAGATGACGAAAGACGAAGGACCATGGCCCAGGACCGCCATACCTCACTTCAAGAACGCAAAAGAACAACCACCTGACTTGGGAGGCTCATGTTTATCGTAGATGAGCAAAAAAAGGAGGAGAGGTTATGCGAACACGAAGTGAGACAGACCGAACGGCATTACGTCCTCGTACTCAACTCCATGTAAATGGAACTTGTGGTGGACTAACAAGCGGCAATAACAAGTAGTAACAAACGACGTATGTTTTGCAGCATGGATACCTGCCCAGTATCCACCCTGATTAAAGAGCGAAGGAGGAGAATGACAGGACACATCCTGAGAATGTCCCCCCAGACGATATTGATAACTCCTTCAGACAGCTGTTTCGCTAATACATAGCTCATCAGTGAAGGTAGATGTTGGATGATTAAAATATAGACCAAGCTGTTTTTTCACTTACAAAGCTGGCATAGCTGAGGTGATACCGTGGGAAAAGGAAAGTGTGAAGTACTGTTGACGCGCATGGGACATGCATGCAGCGTCAGAAACTCGGCACGGAAAATCAATCACTATGACCATCAATGCAGAAATATTGTAGTTTCAACAGCTGCCTCTATATATGTCGGCGCCAAACGAGAGAGCTTGGAAGCTCAGGGCCCTATGCTATGCTTTTTTGCCTAGCTCATCGTACATGTTATTACAACTGATGGAAATTTTTTTTCCGTTGATTGGCCACATCATTGTATTGCAAAAACGTTTCAATCAGTTTGAATATGAGTTAGGCAAAAGTATTTGCAGAATTTACTGCGGGTTGTTATTTTTCTCTAATTTCATCCACTTTTGGTTTGATTTATACAAAAGAGAAAGACCAAGGAACTACAAGTTACGCTATACTGTCCACTAACACCACCAGTTACTAAACAATCAGCTCATGTGTATAAATTAAACCTTGGCTCTCCATCTGAGTACTTTTGGTTTGCTCCTTCTTTTCTTTTATCTCCTTATACTGTAAATCAACAAATTTTGGCCGATGAGAAACTTTGGCCGATCTCGAAACGAAACCTTTCGCCGTCATTAAACTTTGGCCGATTGGAGTTTTCAAAAAGAAATCGATCGGTATGTTTTGCTCTCACATGCATCCATTCCTCAATCATGCATCATTTGCCTCTATGACAAACTTTGGCCTGCGATTTACTTTGGCCGGTTGGTACCAAGCGGCGAAATCAGCGAAATTAAATCGCCAGCGAAAAATATTTGATTTTAATACAGTAATCGGATTTTCTGGCCTTTTTGTAGAAATACATGGACCTGTTGAGCCAGTGAGGCAAAATTATATTCCATACAATACGATACATTATCACTCTCTTATTATTGACCCCCACAGAAACTTGTGATCTCTAAGCGGTCAAATATCAGCATATATTGACCGCTTATATATATATATATATATGTCCTGGTGGTGACAGTCAATTTTTTCTTCAGACTTTTCCCGTTTGTCTCTTTCCCTCAAACCAGTTAATATTTTATGACTTGGGGCTCCCCGCGTGCTAGTTTGTACGTGAGGTGTGTGGGTTACAGTGAGGGCTGCGTCCCACCCGCCTGTGTGGATTCACAGGAAGTGTGAGTTACGAAGTCTGAAGAAAATGTTGTACGGCCTCTGCTGGGATGACGACTACACCATAGCTCAGTGGTTAGAGCATCGCTGGCTAGTACAAGCGAGGGTCCCTGGTTCGAGTCCTGGTGGTGACAGTCAATTTTTTCTTCAGACTTTTCCCGTTTGTCTCTTTCCCTCAAACCAGTTAATATTTTATGACTTGGGGCTCCCCACGTGCTAGTTTGTACGTGAAGTGTGTGGGTTACAGTGAGGGCTGCGTCCCACCCGCCTGTGTGGATTCACAGGAAGTGTGAGTTACGAAGTCTGAAGAAAATGTTGTACGGCCTCTGCTGGGATGACGACTACACCATAGCTCAGTGGTTAGAGCATCGCTGGCTACAAGCGAGGGTCCCTGGTTCGAGTCCTGGTGGTGACAGTCAATTTTTTCTTCAGACTTTTCCCGTTTGTCTCTTTCCCTCAAACCAGTTAATAATTATATATATATATATATACACACAACAACAAGGTTGTCAGTTTCATAACACTAAAAGCTTTTCACCCATTTTCATCAGTAGGTACATGGGAATGAGCAAGAACGAAAACGAAGCCAGAATTTATACTGGGGGTAGAGAATCAGCAAGAATATTCTTACGCGCCTCAAGTTCACACTACACTACCATAAGAATGTATGGAGCAGTGGAAAAATGCGGGAAACAACACATGAAGGGAATGCAGTACCAGAACAAACACGTGATAAAGTTGTCAGTCCGGTTGCAGCTTGAACAGCCGCAGCACCTTGATGTGCTTCTTTTGTCGACACAGCTCTGGCCTCAAACTGCGAATGTACAGCGCCTCCAGTGTGAATCTGTGCGCGCTGTTCCGGGCTGGTGTGATCACACTGAAGCTGCTGTTGCGTTCCTGCGGGATGCACTCAGGTTGCGCCTGCAAATGCTTTGTGATGGCGCTATCACTTGTCGCCACACGTTTGTCAGGCGGCTTCTTGTACAGCTTGTCTGGGATATGCTGCTTGATCCTTTCCGAGAATCGCTGACATGTCTCACCAACGTACGTCCGCTCACAGCGACACGCATACTTATAAATAAAATTACTATTTTCAAGAGTTGGTGAAACATCCTTCGCGATAGACCTGAATGCGGGCCTGGTTGTATAAATTACAATGGGGGATACTGTAGGATAGCAGTTCAAAATTGCAGCTTTAATCTTTTTGCGGAAGGCAATGCAATTTTGCCCTTTCCACGGCAATTTTGTGATAATACGCGTTGCAGGTTCAAGTTGTGCAGAAGCTGTATCTGGGCTAGGTTCAAGAACGCTTGTCATGACTCGCTTGAGTACTTTGAGTGGGTAACCGTTAGAACACAGAATATCCTCTAGCTTAGCAATTTCAGCTGATAATAGTGATGGTGAGCAGATGGTTTTAGCTCTGAAAGTTAATGATCTGATCAAATTGATTTTGTTTCTAGTGTCACAAAACGAGTCCCAGCGGGTGTAAAGACCTGTGAACGTCGGCTTTCTATATACTGTGGTGAGCAATTCTGTGGAAGAATGCTTAATCAATACATCAAGAAACGGCAATTCTCCATTATTCTCCTCCTCCATTGTAAACTGGAGAGCTGGGTGAAGATTATTTAAACGCTCAGAGAATTCCAATGCCAGTTTCCGGTTGTGAA